TTCAGACGCGTTTGAAAAGTTTCCTAACTGCGTCTCAACGCGCTTCATATTAAAAATGCATTTGAATGCGTTGTGAAACCGTTTTTAACTGCGTCTAGACGCGTTTTGTTGTGAAACCGCGTTTCAACGCATCGATCTTGCGTTTCGTGATTACATAGGGAGTATAACGGGATTATGACATCACTCAGAAATGCATTATTTTACAATGAAATGTATTAGTTCATGAGGAATTAAAATATGTTAATTCACAGCTACATTTGCTATATAGTTTTATGTTATAATGAGTTATGTCCGGTTAACATTCATTGGTTGATAGTATAATGAAATATATTGTTTTCCAATGAGTTGATTTTTTCATGTTATGTTGCAATGAAATAAATTACGATCATCTGCGTTGAATCATATTATGTGAGCATGCGTTTTTTTCACTATGGTGTTTCTTGAATGGTGTTATTAAACTTCATTTTATTTACAATTTATTTAAATGCATTAACTTATAACTTAATGCATGAATTAATGATGCATTATAATGGTTTTATTTACAATGAAATTTGTTATTTGATGTTTCTAAAATTAATTGGCTCATATTTATATGTAATTATAAAAACACTACAATGTTTAAAAAAAGTTCATTATTTATCGATCTATACCAATGACAAGAATGGCTAGGTTGCTTCAAATTTATCTTAATTACGTTGACGTACGACTAAAACAAATAAATAAATAGTTGAATGATAAAAAGATTTCTTTTTCGTGAGAGAACAATTCTAAATTAAATTTCCGTAACACTACATGAGATAATACTAGGATCTGATGCAGATGATTTATTTCAAATGAAACAATCAGTTTCTTTTCGTTGTTGTACACATTTAGTGTGCTTCGTTATTCGAAATCAATGTTATTTATGTTACGAGCTAGATACAAACTCATATCAAAGCCTGTCAAAGGACTTTGTAATATGGTCCATACGAAAGAAACTGTTTGTACTGTTATGAAGATAGCAATGTAATTCTCGAGAAGGCCATCGATGTGCATGGATCCCTGATGTCATTATGTACGACATACTTACGTTCATTACCCTAAAAGTCTGGCGTGGTTTGCTCTGTGTATACCTTTAGCACGCTTACGGCGTAATTAGCCGAGAAATGCTGGCAAAAGAAGGGAATATCATTGCGAATCAATTTTATTAAATAAAAAATATTATATTTTTTTTTGAATTTTTTCAAATGTTTTTTTATATTCTAAAAGATGAGGATGAGTTAAAGGTAATATTTTTTGAGCAACTTCTACTGCTTGTTGAGCATTTTTCTTTGCCATACTATATTGTCCAGTAGACGAATATAACTTTGCCAAATTGTGATATACAACAGCTAAATCAGGATGATCTTTTGGTAGTTTCTTTTCACGTATTTCTAATCCTTTTTTCAAAAATGTCAATGCCGTTGAATAATCATTCATTTCAAGATATGTTTCACCTAAATTTATATATGTTGTTGCACATTGGAGAGGATTACATTCAACATTTTCTTGAATATTTAATGCTTTTTGATGAAACGTCAGTGCTGTTTCATAATTACCGATTAATCGATAAGCATCGCCAATATTACTGTATGATATACCAAAGAATGGATGTCTTTCAGGTAATGTTTGTTGATCTATTGCGAGGCATTTTTGAAAGTAATCAAGTGCTTTTGAGTAATCTTTCATACCGAGATACACTTTTCCTAACCAAGTGTACGTAAAAGAAAATTCTGGATTGCCTTCTTCAAACGCTTTTTGCTGAATTTGAAAAGCACTTTTAAGAACCTTTAGAGCTTTTGTGTAATCACCCATTTTTTCGTAACATACTGCGAAATTCAAGTAACTTGTAGCCACTGAGGGATGAGTCGGAGACAGAGCTTTTTCGTAGATTTGATGTGATTTTTCGTAAAATTCAAATGCTTTTGAGTATTCATTCATGTTGCTATATACTAGGCCGATGTTATTGTAGAAAGTAGCCAATGAGGGATGATTCGGAGACAGAGCTTTTTTGCTGATTTCCAGTGCTTTTTCAAACAAATTAAGCGCTGTTCCATAATCACCCATGTTGAGATTCACTTCACCTATGTTGTTGTAAGAACTAGCCAAATCTGGATGATTCGAAGACAGAGCTTTTTCGTAGATTTCGTGCGCTTTTTTATAAAATGCAAGTGCTTTCGAGTAACTACCCATTTTGGTAAACATTTGACCGACTGTGCTATAGGAAGCAGCTAAATCGGGATGATTCGGAGGCAGAGCCTTTTCGTAGATTTGATTTGCTTTTTCGTAAAATTCAAGTGCTTTTGTATAGTCACCCATGCTGTTATACACTCCACCGATGCTACTGTAGGAAATACTCATATCGGGATGATTTAGAGGCAGAGTTTCCCTGTAGATTTTATATGCTTTTTTATGAAATTCAAGTGCCTTGGCATAGTAACCCGTGTTGCTATATGTTGCACCCATCCAAGCATAGATTTGAGCCAAATCAGGATGACTTAGTGGCAGAACTGTTTCTCTTATTTCAAGTGCTTTTTCAAAATATTGAAGTGCTTCAGAATAGTTACCCATAATATGCTGTACTCCACCAATATTTTTGTAGATTTCAGCAAGTGTTGAAGCATCTTTCGGAACAATTTTACAACAGCTTTCGAGAGCAGCTTCATAAAATGAATTTGCTTCGTTGTATTATCCTTGATTAGTTTTCACTTCTCCAAGCATATTATAGATACGCGCTTTATCACTGTCGTTCGGTCTCTGTTCTAGTAGTGCCAAGTACAATTCTTCGGCCTTGTCGAATTGACCTATTTTTAGCAGCAGTTTACCCATTCGGTACCATCCACTGCCGTCGACCTCTTGCCGTATACGATCGGCTAATTGAGCCAGTTGTTGATCATCATCTGATATAAATTTAAGGTCCACTTGATAAATTGGACGATTATTGTCCAGTTTGTGAATGTCAACAATCCGAAAGACGCTATGCGTAGAAAATAGAATTTCCTCTTCGTGCGGGAAATAACTTTCTTCTTGAATAGAGGCAAATGGGGTTGATGAAACCTTGGGATCGACGGCTATTTGAAAAAGAATGCTGACCATATCTGCTGTTTCTAAGGACTGTTTAGCGAACTTGAGGGAAACCTTTCGAGTTGTGCTGGTGGATAAAAAGTTATTAAAGGAAATAAGCCCACCTATGTTTTTTGTGAGCTTTTCGAAATCTGCTTTCGACAGACCTTGCCCTCGAAAGACTGTAAAGATGTTTCCATGATATCGATGAACTTGATTCTTGTACAATATTTCAATTTGTCGGTGTAAATCACACATGAAGAAACCTAGTCGAATCATTATATCGCCGTTGAGTGTTCGCAATGCTCCATTGAGCATTTTATATGTAAAACATTGACGCGTATACCACCAAATGGCTTTTGATGCTTGATAATTATGTTTAAATTCATCGATAATTTTAATTTCATTATCATTTCCGCAGTATACTTCTTGACAATATGTAACCATGTCTTTGATGGCCTGTTCGCCGTGTTTGATCTCAAGAAGAATTTCCTTAAAGATTTGTGAATACATGAATGTCGAGTCTAGCTGATCGAGATTTTCACTAGAACGTACTTCATTCTCACCAACAATACCGACTGTTATATTGTCTTCATTACATCGCTTGATAGCCGTGATCATTTTGTCACAAATGTGTTTAATATTCGTATGGACGCCCTTGACTTTTCTCCAATTGTGAGCCCATACTTGATGCTCTTTTTTGTTTCGACAAAAAATATATATCGATTTTAATTTTTGGATCTCATGAATATTTGGTACTAGATGCTGTCCAAGTGTACCCGAAGAGATAACAAATGACATCAGGTCAGGATTTTCATTCAGCTGTTGAATACATTCTTCAATTGTTGTACATAAATTGACTTGATTTACAGCACCTCGTAATTGTGTAAGCGTATTTTGACAGTCTTCATTGGCCATGTCAATATTCCCATCAACCCAGATGACCAAATAATTTTCAGCCATGCGTTGTCTCTGTTGTTGACTCATTTTCGATGAAATATTTGTTGTTAGATGCATAATCGTGTATTGTTAATAATAAATTGCTGTTTAGACAGAATTCACTTTTTGTATTTATACATTCAATGTACGGTAAGTTTTTCTAAATTTTTTTATGATGTCACATATGAGTATTTGGATTTTTTTTGACACTCAATAGTAAACTATGCATAATAGTAATTGAAGGTATGCTTGTCAAAACAAACTAATGGGAAAAGACACAAGTGCGTCATTAGTCGTATGATAATTTTTTCCTCTTTTTCACCCACGTTTCGTTTAGAGAGTGACTCAAACTTTATTGTACCACATACTTTGTATTATACGTTGTACATGTTCCTTTGATTCATTTTAAACGACTTTTTTTTCTCTTTCTAGCAAGAACGAAAACGACTATAAAGACAGCGTCAGTATGATGTTTTTCTCATTATGCATATGATTCACATACCTATAATGTGAACGAAACAAGAAACAATATAATTTCAATTTTAGTTGAGATAACAATCGAAGCAGTTTCTACTTGCCAAATACACGGTTAATTATGAACCAATGATCGAAGTATTTATCGCTTACTAAAAGAAATGAATAAAACACTTCAATGAAAACTTTACACATTTGTAAAACAAACAAGCACAAGTTTCGTATCGGGATGAATCCATGGGTACCATACTACTTTTTGGAAAAGGTTTTTTTGAAATATTTTTTCAGTTGGATAGATGTATAGTCAATAAAAACATGTTTGAGAAAAAACATTGTGAACTTCCATAGAACAATCTAGGTCTTCTTGATCATCTATTAGGAACATCTATATGTAAATATCATTTATTTCTCATGAAATTCAATTAATATTCAATTATATTTTTAAAAATAGTTTTTTTTTTCTAATTGTTTCAAATTAGATAGTTGAAAAGGGATCAGAATAATACATTTTATGAAAATAGTTCAAACCTTCAATACAACAATCTTATAATTCTATATGATCATGTTTTAGAAACATATATATGTAGATTCCAAATGATCGTTAATTCATGAATTTATTTAATTTTATTAGCATATTCTCTTCTGAAGAAGTTCAAAATGAATTCAAACTAAATTTTCGGCTTTGTTACATGACAACACATTACAAATCGTTTCACAATTCTAACTAATTTTTATCTGCTCAGACGAATAAATTCTAATCTTTCGTTGATACATCGTTTTCTAGCACCTATTGAGCAGTTTGAACTTTGAGCACGACTCAATGACAGTAAAAGATCATCTTTTAAAATTAATTTCCTCGTTAGAAAGGATTTTGACATAGGGGAGATCTCATTTTAATGGTACACTGGATTTTTTCAGCCCTATATACTGAGTTATTATCAAAATGAGGTAAATAATAACACTATGGAAATCAAAACTTTACTATTGTACTGGAAGCACCAAGACTACTATTATGCTGAAATAGACGCGTTTTTTCACACAAGGATATCTACTATCACGGAGTGTTGTATTTGATGAATATTATATTAGAACGAATCACATATTTTAGTGACTCATAGAAGGTACCTTCAGTGAATACCTGTTCGTTTTTCTTTTTGTCTACTATTTGTGCCGAAAGAGAATTGAAATGTCGAAACGAAAGTGTTACCAACCTCCAGTCGGACATTTGTCATCAGTTCGTATAGGAAGAGGAGAATTTCCAGTGTCTTCATAGTTATTAAAGTTTTTACGTACACAATATGAAGCTGTGGAATCCAATATTCGTTGCTTATATTCAAGTTGTTACTTGTTCGAAAGGAACGACATGGACAATAACGAGTCAATGAACGTTTCCGAAAGCACAAGCTCAAATGATAACGGTTTACATTCGAGTGAAGATGTGTTGGTGGGTCTTAGTCTTACTCTGAACCATACCCACATCCATCGAGCTTCTGGTGTAGATTTCAAACATATTCAAAATAATGAAGAAATTCTAAGCGACATGATCATGTCAGTAGAAAGAAAATTTTTGGGTGTGGGTGTGTGTGGGTGTGGATGTGGGGTTTGGGTAAAGAGGACATTAACACTGACACCCACACCCACCCATCTTCTGATGTGATTTCTCAAAAAGAAATACTTTTTAGCACAGGATGAAAATAGATTAATCGACTAGAGACTTTCAGTAGGATGAGGCAATTTATAGCATAAGTGTTTAAAATGATTAATTCTGAATATATTTTCAGTAATGACGTTTGACTGGTGTCTTGGATACTACCAACAAAACAACAGTAGCATATTACATTGATGAATGTCTAAGACAAATAAAACAAGACATGAAGAGATTGCTAAAAATATGTTAATTATTCATCAAAAACTTGATTTTCATATTTGTCTTCTCCAATCGAATTCAAGATGAAAGAATTTTAAAAAGCGGATCAAAATGGTTAATTAAATGTTTTACGAGACATTTCTGTTTGTTAGATTATCAATAAGATGTTACAATCAACACTTTATATAATTCAGATTTTTTCTAATTAAACTAAAAGCTGTTATGTCTTTCAACCGAATACTAATATAACAAAGATATTGTCTCTATTCGAATGTTAATTATAAATCGAAATTTGATGAAAAACACATAGCTATACATGGAATCGATGTTGGCAACACGATCTCTTTTTTTTCTATTTATCTCATTTGATTTTAGAAGATATTCTAGATGAATACAGGTGGATATTTTCCGGTGAAAATAACATTGCCAACGCACAGCGCTTGATGATACATAAGTGAAAATTATGACAAATATTAGTGTAAATTTGTAAGGCTATCATGAATATAATTAAAAAGAATATATATTGGTACGAACAAAAAGAAAAGATATTGAAAACAAGATTAATAATAAGAGAAGAAAAGAATAAGAGTAAATAAAAAGAATAGACATAACGTAATTACGTTGTTTTTTTATCAAAAACTTTTACATTAAAAACTACTATTTGTGTTGATCTAGTCATTTTCATGAATAACGCCTAAAAAAACAGGAAGGAAATAATTATGTTTTCTTTTACATGAATTGTCTAGATAAAAATAAACAATGGTTTAGTAAATCAAGATCAATAACAATTACATTTCTTGTTTTCAGTAAAACTCTCATCATCAATCATTAATAATTATACAAATTTTATTGTCACATCTAGATTGTCAACAAACAAGTGGCTTAAATGAATCTTTAAATAGTTAAATTTAATAAATAAGGTACCAAAGTGAATACGCATGAATTTGGACTACTCACTATGAAACTTTGATGTTTCTATAAAACATTTTAAATCTTTCTTTCATAAAATAATATATTTACTTTTCTACCTATCGACCGAATTTGGTTATGTGTAATCAATAAAACAACTTTCGCTGGACGATTGTAAGTTAATGTAATGATCGGCATAAACAACAAGTATCGATACAATGGTAACTGTATTATTCGTTTTACTTGTTGATTACCTTATAGTATTTAGAGTGAATGATAGATGCGATGCTACTTGTTCTTGAACTACTGAATGGTTGCTTTTGGTTCCAGCGATTGTTTGATTGCAGAAGAAGTTTTTCAAATAATTTTAGAATTTCTTAGTACAAAGAAAATTGAATGATTTTGATCTCTCTTGAATTTCTAAGTGTATTGCATCAACAATACTCGATATGCCACATACTAATTGTTTCTTCAATGGAGGATAAAAACACCTTATTTACATTAAATTATGAGAAATGCAAGGCTATCAAGTTTATAGAGCACTGCATTATTACTATTACATATATTTTCTTTGTTTTACCATGTCGTATGATTAGTGTGTCATTGTCTTTCTGCTACGAGAAAATTTACATTCTTTATCGGTGTTATGTATGCAATTATTCCTCATTTGATAAATCGAGTTAAATCATTGTTGATTTTACAAAGCAGTCAGTTCTTATACAATTTGATATGTAATTCAATACAATAATCAGATGGAATCATTTTTCTCAAATGTTTCGTATTTGTTGTAAATTTCCAAAATAGAAAAGAAGAAATACCATTAAATAGAATTTGAAAGGTCCCGTTTTAAAACGAAGTAGAAAATAATAGCAGCACAATCTGTTTTTTATTTTATTTTGATAATGAAATTCATTTGTCCATAAGAGAAATAACAAGAATATACACTAACTGTAACACTAAAGCAATACCAGCTACATCAAATATTACATTTTAACTTGGAATTGTAGATTCTGTTTTCAATTATCATATTTCGATTGAAGAAAAGAATTTAAAACATTTATCCGATTGATGATTACATAGTTCTGAGGAACATTTATTCATCACAAAATTTGATATAAAATCGAAGTATACTGATATTCTCGATTTTAGTATACATATCAATCGAATTATTCTACAAAACATTGATTTACTTCAACCATTCTTTAGTGATTAATAACTTATTTAGCGACTTGATATTTAGATTTGAATC